TGGGGAGGAACCCGGTTCCCAGCTGTAGTTGGGAGAGGGAGGAACTAATCCCTCAGCAGTAGGTATCTGGCACCTGGTACAGGGCGAAGAGGTTTTCTCGTTTTTCTCAACAACCTGCATAGTTAATCCTCTGGAAACCAGAGCAATCAATGCTGGCAGATTTTCTCAGTTACCTTCCCATACATTTTCCTGAACTATTCTGTATAAGGGACGCTGGACCCGTTTTCCAGCAGGTGATACTCCCCACCAATAGATGAAGTGGCCACGTAAGGATCTACTAGGCAAGGCTGCTTTTATCACCTTGCCTAGTAGGTTTGAATCGGCCTTAATTTTTTTATATATATATATATATATATGGAAGAAAAGAGCAGGAGAAGTCTCATTTCAACACAACGAATCTATCCTAAAAAGGGGTTCAACTAAAGAGCATAAGAATTATAATATCGTCATTTGCAGTCTCTTCACAGCCTCTTGCTCTTTGAAGTGTATAGCTATCTTTCCTAGCCGAAGCCGGGTAATGGCCCCGGTATCTCAATTTGTTCTGCATATGTTTCTTAATACGTTCTTGAATGGGACGCTGGGTCTGGTTCCTAACACGTGCGGCTCTTTTTAATTGGGACAATGCTCCAGTCTATTCGTGGGGAGCCGCACGTGTTGGGAACCGGGCCCAGCGTCCCATTCAAGAACGTATTAAGAAACATATGCAGAACAAATTGAGATACCGGGGCCATTACCCGGCTTCGGCTAGGAAAGATAGTTATACACTTCAAAGAGCAAGAGGTTGTGAAGAGACTGCAAATCTACAGTAACTGAAGAAAGCTTGGATTCTATGAGCCTATTTGATAGAGATTGTAGAGTCTATTCCACAACCTACTCATCAAATAGACTAAACTCATAAAAGCTATGAGAAAACCCGCCAACCTTTGATCCATGTGAGCTTCCAAACTGAAAACAACCTGCCTTGGTGCCTTTCAGCAGCCCAACCTTAAACCTACCTCAACCCCTGTATCCCAATACCCAATCTCTACCAGGCCTCACACCCCCAACTGCTAGAGTGGCACGACCCACCCCGGAACAATCCCCCACCTGCTAGGTTACAGGGCGAAGCGACCCGCCCCGGCTATGGCCAACGTAGATTGAGTACTAGATACCTTCAAGTAGAGTGCATTACTGAAGCGCCCATCTCGTGAAGTAAACTTGACGGGCCGTCCCTGAAGAAGAAAAAGGTCAATGCCAAAGCTGGTACATGTGCTCTTGGAACTGCCGAAGCACTCTCACCACTGATGCACGCTCTCCCACTGCATGCAACATCGCCGCCATCGATGGTTCTGCATAGAGCTTGCACTTGTGACGCGCAACCTCACGCCCTGTGCTGTCTTTCGTTCGGAGTGCTAAAGGTGCGGAATGAAGGCCCAAGAAAAACAGCAAGATGGGATGTGCCAAGGATTTTTGGAAAATTGAGTGTGGGGACACAGACAGGACTGGAATCCCCCGTGTTGGCCCGATGAAGTAAGTCGGTTGTGTTCGCGCATCGCGGAATGCGCGCGCGGGTACGGCGCGAAAAGAGAAAAATCCAAATTCAATCCAGAAAGTATTGTCGAGCTTCCCACCGCGCTACGGATCTTCGTTTAGAGCGGAAGGGCTTCGGCACACTCCGCGTATCCTGTTTCCGTATCAAGTCCCGATGTCGCTCGTTGATCAGTTATGAATCTTACGTGGATGGTCTCAGACGCGTGACTCTTTCCTTGTGCTCGTCCTCACTCCGTATCCGGTAGTGGAAGCCCTTTGATTCGTAGCGGTCGAGACGCTGACACTCAGTGCACAGGGTTCGAGGCCAATGGGGCGCCACTGCCGTCCACGGAATGACGATCAGCTCGTTAAATGGCAACAACACTAAGTAAGGTGGAAAGTGCATATCGATGATGACAAAACCCGCATCCACGAACCCGGAACAATGATTTTCAGGAGGGAAGTAATATTGTCCGCCAATGCGTGCTACAACTTCCCGTACGTCCCATTCGCATACACGTGTCCTTTCCTCGTTGTAGGGGAAGGGGCGCGTCGACAAGGGAGATACGGAAGGCTGGCGCCCGACCGAGGGACGAACGTTAGTCCACATGTCAATTAACCAGACGGAGATTACGCAAATACTCGAGATGTCATCAAAAAGCACAGAAAGAAATAATTAGTGTCTTTCTTCCTTTAGACACGAGAGAGGCAACTTATGAAACCCGCACAATCATGCATGAGTCGTGTTGGAATTCCGAGGGATCAACCCACGACTCAGTTTCAGCAGACTTGATCAACAAAAACACGAGGCTCCTAGTTTCTTCGAGGCTGCCTCACCGACTATCGGTTAATGTCATGCAGCATAAGGCAGATGGCAGTGCAGTTGGAACCACGGATCTAAACACTTTTGCATTCTCAAACAAAATCCCATTGAGCGCTGAGTCTAATCAACGCAAGAAGACGAGCAACCTCCATACATACATCCACTGTGGAAGGTGCGAAAATGACAAGGATACACAGGTCAGAGATCAACGGAGGGATTTTTACACACGCATCCTCCATTCACAAGACAAGGGGGATCAAACCCTCGGTATCTGGGGATTACCCAGGAAACTAATGGAAGAGTTCCGAAAGAAGTTCTTCCATGCGAGGATTCTCGCGAGTTCGCCTCTGTTCACAAGAGGGACAAACCATCAATGCATCATCATTCAAGTCAGAGAGAGAGGGAGAGAGAGAGGGGTGGGAGGGATAAACAAGGAAAGCTGAGACAGAAGACACCAGAATCCGACACGATAGCATTCCCCTTCACAGCCATGAACTCACACCCGAAAAATGATCCGCAATGAAGGCGCATTCGCCGTAGAATTCCAATATGGCCCCGGGCCAATCATCCATTCAACTCCAATCACACATCCTCATACCCGCACCGACGATCCCGGCCGTCACGTGCTAACTTCCACCACTGCGATCGTCACCCCGCTGACGTAGGCTCGACTCGGCTCGCCTGGATCCCACAGTCTGTCGTGGCGATCAAGCGCGCAACCGGCCAGACTACAGTCAGCCCGACAGGACTTTTCGACTCGCATCAAACACACCACCTAGCCGCTGCTTCCCGGAAGCTGGCTTG